CTCTACCGACATGCTTCCTCTTTCCTTGCTCCTCTGCTGTATGTTGGATATTGTTATCCTTCTTCAGTCTGTGAGCTTCTGAGAAGAGAAACTGGTTTTGCTGTCTACAGAGCCTCATCCTAAGTCTGACACACAGTAGACAGAAAATATGCAAATGAGTAAATGAATTAATCAGTAAGTGATGAGCTGGTGAGTGACCATAGACAAGATGTCTTTCTGTTCACCTCTCAACCTCATTCCCCTCATTGAGCAGTTGAGGACACAGGCTGCTTCTGCTCCTGAGTGCATTCTTATAAGGAGTAAGTATTTATACCAATGCCTTCAATGCTGCTACCCAAGTGAGAGTTGGTCAGCTCCTTCCTTCTCAGATAGAATCTGGCCATAACTACTATGCTTGGAGACAAATGCATTAGAAATGCCTCTCAGGTAATATTTATGGCTGCTTTACGCCTAAGAAGTGTATGTACAATTGAACAATTGCCCTCACTGTAACAAGCCTTCATGGGAGGCAAAGCAGGGATATGTGGCCCTTCAAAAACAACACAGAGTATCACCTGTTGGGTAAGCCAATCCTGTCATAGGGCCCATTCTGCTGAACACATCTTTTTTTATTTTTTATTTTATTTTATGTGCATCGGTGTTTTGCCTATATTCATGTCTGTGTGAGGGTATCAGATCTCCTGGACCTGGAGTTACAGACAGTTGTGAGCTGTCATGTCACTCACAAGGTAAAATTGAACCCAGGTCCTCTGGAAAAGCGGTCTGTGGGGATATTTTGTGTATAATCTAACAAATAAAGCTTGCCTGAAGATCAGAGGGCAAAGCCAGCCACTAGTTAGCCATAGAGGCCAGGCAGTGGTGGAACACACCTTTAATCCCAGCATTTGGGATCTCATGCCTTTGCTCCCAGTACTTGGGAGGCACATGCCTTTAATCCTAGCAAGAGGGAGGATGAGACAGGAAGTGATATGGCTGTGTAGAGAAAGAAGCTCAGTCCTCTTGGCCGAGCAGCTGGTGAAATGAGAGGTGGCTGTGGCTTGCTCCTTTGTCTCTCTGACTTTTCAGCATTTATCCCTGATATCTGGCTCTGGGTTTTTATTAAGACCAATTAGGATTCGTGCAACAGCAGTCAGTGTTCTTAACTGCTGAGTTATCTCTCCAGCCACACATCTTTTAACTTTATTCAAAACATCTACTTTGTTGGGAGCAAGAGAAAATCTTGTAGAACACAAATAGGATATTGTCCCTTAACTTATTGTATGTTAAGTACAGTTGGGGGTCATGTATGCAGACATCCACACACTCACAGTGGCTATTTCTATACCATCATCTCCAGAGCAAGACATGGACCTACACGTGTGTGTTTTTCATAGACTTGCCCATTTCTTCCCAGTATAGCTTTCAACAGCAAAGTGTCTCATGTGTTACAGCAAGACTACATGGTGTCTTTATTATCCAACCAGCCATTCTAACTCAAGCCTCCAAAAACATAATGATAATAATAATGTTGAGTGAATTAAAATCTTCTCAGTGTTATTCTCAGTGAATAGAAACATCTTAAGAAAGTTTGCTTTTGATGTTCATGTGCACCATACAATCTGAGCAAAATCAGCCTTCTTCCATTGAGATCCAGCACTAAGACACATCTTCTGACTTTTCTCATTATCTACCTTCCCCCTGCCAGATGGCCATCTCATCCCTAGTGACTGTCAGTCAAGATTGGTCAGGGCCAGATGTCCTAATGAGGAAGCCCAAGATCTAAGGCAGTTGCTTGGAGGAAGAGGCAGACAGTGAGCAATCACCTGGCCCAAGAGGCACATGAAGACAGTTTGGTATAGATAGCATCACAATGGGGATATCACAGCATAGTAGGGCTCCCCAGAGCTGGAGATTGTGCACAGGAAGAATGAAAGAGGACAAGTTGAGATTAAGTGGGGGAATGCCTTCATTTAAGGTCTCAAAGGAAAGCCATGTTGACCTCTGTCTGGCACCTAAAAAGGCTGAAGTTACAGAGATAACAACGAGGTACTTCTTTGCTGAGCATCAAGTTGGAGGAGTAAAGGTCACTGTGATTGACAGAGTTTGAGAAAAGAGGCTGCTGGAGAGGAAAAGTTCATGAGCAAGAGTGCTGTAAATCCCTGAAGACACAGCCTGAGTTAACTGAAGATTTGTCAAGGGGAAACTGAAGAGGGAAACTTCTTCAGTTTGAAAACCTGATGCATTTTTTAGGGGAAAATATTCCTACATATATGTTTGATTCTTACCTCTAAAATACACCCTAATCACATTGCCTTGTGAACCAGAGAAAAAGACATTTGATGAGGACAGTCAGAGGAAGCAAAAGCCAAAAGTAAATTTTTACAGGGAGAAAGTGAAACCAAATGGGATAGGAAGGGAAAGCTAACACTTAAACTCAACAGCAACAAATTATAGCAAGGGTAAATTATTTTGGGTACAAAATACTCATTAAAAAGGTAGGACCCAGCCGGGCGGTGGTGGCGCACGCCTTTAATCCCAGCACTCGGGAGGCAGAGCCAGGCGGATCTCTGTGAGTTCGAGGCCAGCCTGGTCTCCAAAGCAAGTTCCAGGAAAGGCGCAAAGCTACACAGAGAAACCCTGTCTCGAAAAACCAAAAAAAAAAAAAAAAAAAAAAAAAAAAAAAAAAAAAAAAAAAAGGTAGGACCCAAGCCAGGTGGTGGTGGCACAGGCCTTTAATCCCAGCACTCGGGAGACAGAGGCAGGCAAATCTCTATGAGTTCAAGCCCAGCCTGGCCTACAGAGCGAGTCCCAGGACAGGCTCCAAAGCTATATAGAGAAACCCTCTCAAAAAAAACAAACAAATGTTGTGGACATCTGTATGCTGTGAATGTGTTGCTCTGATTGGTTAATAAATAAAGTGCTGATTGGCCAGTAGCCAGGAAGTACAGGCAGGACAAAGAGAGAAGAGAATTCTGGGAAGTGGAAGGCTAAGTCAGGAGATGCTGCCAGCTGCTGAAGCTGCCATAAGAAGTAAGATGTAAAGTATCAGTAAGCCACAAGCCACGTGGCAACTTATAGATTAATAGAAATGGGTAAGATGTAAGATCTAGCTAGCAAGAAGCCTGACACAGCCATACAGTTTATAAGTAATATAAGTCTTTGTGTGTTTACTTGGGTCTGAGTGGGACTGGAGAAAACTCCAGCTACAAACAATAACAGAAAAAGTAGAACCCTGCTGTGAGATAGCTTTTGTGTATGCTGTGAATATGTGTTGCTACCATTGGTTAATAAAGAAGCTGCCTTGGTCTATGACTAAACAGGTTATAGCCAGGCAGGAAATCCAAGCAAAGATACAGGGAAAAGAAAGGCAGAGTCGGGGGAGATACTCTGGGCCACTGGGGGAGCAAGATGTAATGGAATACAGGTTACACATAGATTAATAAAAATGGGTTAATTAAAGATAAAAGAGCTAGTTAGCATTAAGCCTGAGCCATAGACCAAACAGTTTGTAATTAATATAAGCCTCTGTATGTTTATTTGGGACCAAGCGGCTGTGGAACACAGGAAAACTTTTGACTACAGAATCCAGTGACTCTTTTGCACCCAGATAGTAACATTTCAAATATATATATATATATGAGTCTTCACATATATTCATTGTACATATATGCATGCAATGGGTGTATACATGTGATGGGTTTCATCAAGATGTTTTCATTGAACTACGTCGTATGCTTTCACCATCCCATACCCTTCCCTTTCTCCTTTCTCTTTCTTGTTGGTCCTCTGCATTCCCCAGAGATCCTCTCTTCTACTTTTATGTTGTGTGTGTGTGATAAAATCTAAGATCCACAAATGAGAGAAAACAAGATGTTTGTCCTTTTAAGTCCAGATTACTTCACTAATTATCTCAAGTTTCATCCATTTTCCTACAAACACCATAATTTCATCTCCAGTAAATATTTTTTTTAAAAAAATGCTTTTTCAAGATTCATTTACTTACAATACTGAACAGTCTATAGTACAGAGAAAATACATTTTATCTTCTGATATACAATCAGTAATAGACTGGATAATAACAAAAGTGTCTTATTAATGTAGAAATTCTTAACAGTAAATCTGTCATGGGCTGTGGCTTGGCTCTGTGGTAGAAAGTTTGAACACCCATGGACGCACATTCCATCCCCAAATACAACAATAATTCATTATCAAAAACTTGCCTCTGTTTGAATTCTAACATTCAAAGCACCTAAGTGACCACTTACTCTAAACAAAAGAGGAAAATTTCTGTCCCCTTTCCCCACAGCCCTGCCCCCTCCCCAAAGCTCTGCCCCTCTTCCCCACAGCCCTGCTCCCTCCCCCCACAGCCCTGCCCCCTCCCCCACAGCCCTGCCCCCTCCCCAAAGCTCTGGCCCTCTTCCCCACAGCCCTGCCCCCTCCCCCACAGCCCTGCCCCTCCCCCACAGCTCTGCCCCCTCCCCCACAGCCCTGCCCCCTCCCCCACAGCCCTGCCCCTCCCCCACAGCCCTGCCCCTCCCCCACAGCCCTGCCCCCACAGCCCTGCCCCTCCCCCACAGCCCTGCCCCCTCCCCACAGCTCTGCCCCTCTTCCCCACAGCCCTGTCCCCTTCCCCCACAACCCTGCCCCCTCCCCCACAGCTCTGCCCCCTCCCCCATAGCCTTGCCCCCTCCCCCACAGCCCTGCCCCCACAGCCCTGTCCCTCCCCCACAGCCCTACCCCCTCCCCCACAGCTCTGCCCCCTCCCCCACAGCCCTGCCCCTGTCCCCACAGCCCTGCTCCCTCCCCCACAGCCCTGCTCCCTCCCCCACAGCCCTGCCCCCGCCCCCACAGCCCTGCTCCCTCCCCCACAGCCCTGCCCCCGCCCCCACAGCCCTGCCCCCTCACCCACAGCCCTGCCCCCTCACCCAAAGCCATCCTTACTTAGGAAAGCTTGTTCTTCACCTTCACTTCTAGTTCTGGGATGAAAGTTTTCAGGTCCAGACTTAATAATTACAGGCAAATACTGTACACCACCATCATGACACAATTTTCTGTGCCAGCTATGGTGACAATGGCCCCCAGCTCATTCCCAATAAATGATTACTCAGTGATAGAAAGTCTCTCCAGTTCCTAATGCTACACACTAATTTGTCATCACTACTCAATTGCCTTTGAAATTACAATCTCAAAAGCTGGAGTGGTTTCCTACAGCTAGGATCCTAGCACACGGGAGGCCAAGAGAGGAGGATGCCTGGGATCCAGCCTGGGATGCAGGGCCAGGACCAGGCCAGCCAGGGCCACAAAGCAAATACTATACTAAAAATAAATAAATAGATAAAAAAATTATAATCTGAGGACTCTACCTCTGATGCCCAAGTTCAGCACAGTCTTCACCCTCCTGGAGCCATCAAACACAAACACCTCCATTTTCTCCTCCATCCTGCCCCTCACTTGACTGTCGGGCCAGCTCCTGTGAGTCTGCCAGTCCAAACACTGCGCACACTGCTGATGTCCTTCTCAAGGATCCACCCCTCCCTGAAGACCTCTGCCGTGTTTGTGTGGAATCACCGACTCACCCTGGGATTTCCAGAGGTTCTTGTATATGCGTTCAGTTTATTGCTTGCTTTGTCTCCCCAACACCTGCTAACATCACATACACAGGCAATGAAGAAAGGAAATCCAATGAGAACACAGTAGGTCTACATATGAAACACAGCGGGTTGCTTATGCTCACAATTCAAATGACATTACTATAATTGCCGCTCTTTTCGCAAAGGCTAGAAAGGTTAACTGATGCAGCCAAGATAGGACTCACCCCATTGACACCAGAAAACAAAACTAAGGTACTTCCTGGCAGTAACTGAGAAAAGAGACTTCTCGGTACCTCTTTTTTATCTGTAAATCTGACACAATGGCTGTAAAAACAGTATAATTCAGTAGCCAGTGGCTGGGCCAACACTCCATCAGGATAAACTACAGAAGAATACCAAGCCCTGTCTTGTACCAGCCACAACACACTCTGCTTTGTGTACCCTTTACACAACTCTTACTTCTGGACAGTCACGTGAGACTAGAGGGGACTTGGGAGTGTAGAGGTATTTCTTAGGTGTCTCCTGTGGGGAAGAAGAAACGGGGGGAGGGGGAGGGAGGGAAAGGAACCCTACTATATAGGTAATGTTACTTCTACTGGACAGATTTGGAGAGGTGGAAAAGCTGAATAAGGCAAGATTAAGATGATCATAGTCAGGCAAGGTGGATTATGCCTCTATCATCTCAGCACCTGGGAGGTGGAGGCGGGGGCATCAGAAGTTCAAGGCCAGCCAGGGATACACAGAGAATTTGAAGTCACCATGGACTACATGAGAACCGGAAGGGGAGAGGGGGTAAGCAGCAGGAGCAGCAATCTAGCTACTTGGTAAAGTACAGAAGAGAGTCTGACCTCAAGCCACACTTGTCCTCCACCCCACTGTCTGCCCACACTTGGCTCCCCGATGTGTCCAATGAAGGCATCACAGATCTGCCATTCCCCAACCATCATCAAGCTAAGAGGAACTTCTGGGAAGTCAATTAGCCCACAGATATCGTCAGGCCCACTACAGGGCGCTCAGCACTTCACACAGCTAATGCATGTGTTTATGTAAATGGCGGTAAACAAGGCTGATTTACCTCAGTGTCAGCATGAGTTTCGCTTGACTTTGCCTAATGAATTTTAACCTTCAACGGTGGGTGGGTGAAGTTTAGATGCAAATGTCAAAGCCATGGAGGGAGCACACCTGAAGCAGGGAAGCCACCAGCTCTGAGACCTGAGAAGAAAGTGAGGCATGCACTCTTTAGCTCCCAGGAAGACAAAGAAGATGAGAAGGCAGGTCAAGGTGCCTGCCTCCCAAAGCTGCTGATGTCTGAATTCAGTCATTTCCAAAGTTTCTTCTCACCCTGCAGCCTACCATACCACTCTTTCAGAGGAGACCATGGTGGCTGAGCAGGGGACCTCTGAGGTGAGATTCGGTGACCCCCTGAATCCTCCCATCTACTTCCTGGGCTCAACGAGCCCAGCTGGAGGCCTTGGATCCCTCCCTCAGAATCTGAGCAGTGCTGGTCCTCTGCCCAACAAATTCTCATGACTGGAACCCAAAGCCCCCTCCAGAGGCTGCATGAAAGGGGCAAGGCAGTTAACCATTCTTTCCCAAGAGGGAGAAGGGGTCAGCCCAGCTCCTGTTCATTAAACGCTTTTAATGAACACTGGTTCTCAGGATAACTCTGCAGGATACCCCTCTCCTGCTTTTCTTTGCACATCATGCATGTATGTGTTCACGGGTGTGCAAATGCAGATGCGTACAGAAGCCAAGAAGCAGACACTAGTCTCTTCCTCAGTCGCTCTCCACCTTAGAAATTGAAGCAGAACCTCTCATTTGAATCCAGAGCTGGTCAGTTTAGCTAGCCTGGCTAGCTACCTTGCCCTGGGGATCCCCCATCTCCATCTCTCAAGGGCTGGGCTTACAAGTGGGCTGCCATGCCCAGCCACCATTTACGTGGTACTGGGGATGCGAACTCAGATCCTCATGGTTGCACAGCAATCATTTTAAATACTCAGCCACTTCCCCAGCCCAAGTAACAAGATTGATATATGACAGCCGTGTGCATGATGTGAAGCACGAGCTGTCTTCCGAAGGCATGATGACATCTCATGGTGCCCATCAGTGATATCTCATCAACACTGAGTTGGTAGCACTACTCGGCTGTACACCATATGCTCAAAACTGTGCTGAGTTCTGTAGCTCGTTTCCAGGGGAGAAAGACATTGCCACTACCCTTCCTTCCTAGGTAGGAACACTAAGTGCTGGAAGTTAAGCACCACAAAAGCAGTGCTGGTTCTAGGTCTTACAATAAAGCTGGTAAGTGTAGCACCGCACTGAATCCTGTCAGAATGAGAATACACTTGATACAAGTGCTCTCTCTACTTAAAATGACTTTAAATGTCATTAACAATCAATGACAACACCACATAAGAAAAAACTCCTTCCATCTAAAACACACTTGTCACTTATAAACATTTCCTGAGATTATTTAAGCCTCCTAGAGAAGATTGATTTAATATATTACTTTGGTGCATTAAAAAGGGAGAAATAAAAGCAAAAGACTGTAAAGCCTTCTTCGAATGGAGTCTAACTTTTCTCTGAAAAGCATTAATGTCAATATATTTTTCCACCTAACTCTGTTACTTGCCTTGTTTAAAGAGCTAGGGAGAGAGCCTTTCCTAAAAGAATTTGTGATTCAATTAAAAGCTATTGTGGCTAGGCGTGTAATCCTGTTTTCCAGTTAGGGAAGGCTCATCTGCTGCAGATCCTGCCTCTGAATATTGGTAAATATACCTGGTTTTTTCCACCTTCCTACACCACTATTTGGGTTTTAAAAGTTAAAACCGCAGGAGACTGGACCTGGATCTTTTTCCCCAGTGAACATTATCACGGCTCTTCCCTGAAGAGAAGGCAGCCGCAGAAGGCTGCCACCTGCCCCGTGGTGACAGTAAGACAGCAGCAGCACCATTCAGAATTAAACGGGGGATTATATAGAACTCGCGAAAAGCTCATGCATGAAGTCCACAACACCCGGAACTCGAGGCAGAGGTGTGGGGAATTCCAAGGACCAGAATAAAGCAGAGGCAGGAAAACAACGGGGGCTAAGGCAGGCAGCCTGGGGTATCCCAGCTTCAGGGTGGTACCAGCCCTGCTTTGCTAAATCTGTGTGGAAAGAGTGTGTCGATGTCCTGTCATCCTGACCGGCTGCATTTTCTAACTTTGTGATTCCATGTTTTCTTGCCCCGCCCAGGCTCCCTTAATACCTGGTCCTGTTTGTGTTCTAGCACCTCTGTCCTACAGCTCTCTGTGTCACACGCACCTGCAGGCGCCGGCTGCTGCGTGTCTTTTCACCTCCCACTCCAGAGCAGCGTTCGCAGATGGCGTTGTCCTCGCCATTTCCAAAGCATGGCAGCGCCACCTCGCGGCATAACGCAGAACTGCCGGTTCGTTCTGGTCTCCCGGCGGGTTTGGTGTGGCACACATGTGGTGATTAAATCACAGACCCTCTCTCAGATTTGGGTTCTGTGGAGAAGACAGTAAGTATACAGTTAAACTATAAATATTTAGGCAAACCCACAAATTTCTCATTAATAGTAGCTATATGTCTTATGTAATTTCACACTGACTTTTTTTTTTTTTTTTTTGGCTTTTCGAGACAGGGTTTCTCTGTGTAGCTTTACGCCTTTCCTGGAACTAACTCTGGAGCCCAGGCTGGCCTCGAACTCACTGACTTTTCTAAACTTTTGCAATATCTGATGCTGATGAAAGGCCAGACATGTTTCACCCAAAGATGATGTATTTCAGGGATGAGTTATTTCTTTTACAGAATTACACTGGAGGGTGTGAGCACTGATCCATGACTCACCTGCCCTAATTAAATTATTTTACAAATTAATAGGAGACAGTCCCTAGATTTATTACTCTACTATTATTTGTCTCTTAATGAATTTTTAGAAAATTTTAACTGGATAGGCTTTAATGAAGAAAACGTTTTTCCATTAATCCTTTCTTGAGCTGGATATTTCCTGGTATCCTACCAAGTTATGTGGATGGGATAATTTGTAAAACATGACAGATGTTGAGGGGCTCTCTGTAAAGGTAATCCACTTGTCCTTGAGACCCTTTTTACTTCAGTCTTCAGTTTCCTGATTCTTTTAGACTAACAGTTGCATCTAAAAATCTGCTTTCACAGAATCTCCCTTAACTGTTACTGTTGCCCCATTTCTGGACTATCAAGGGAGCTAGTAGGCACGCTTGTCTCGTGCCAGCACAAGCCTCTAATCACTTCTCCGCGTTCCCACCAGCTTGACGGTCTCAAAGTCACGAGGTGAGAGATCGATGCTGAGAACAAGCAGCCAAGGGCTGAGGATGTCGCTGCTAGGACATTGCTTGCTTAGCATGAATGGAAGGCTCCGAGTCCAACCCCAGCACCACATAAACCAGGCTGTGTGACGCACGCCTATAATCTCAGCACTTGGGTAGAGGCGGGAGGATCAGGAATTCAAGGCTATCCTCAGTTATGTAAGGAGTTGGAGGACAGCCTGGGCTACATGAAACTTTCAAAAAAAAAAAAAAGTAAAGGTCTTTTAAACTCAGACACAAGGCAAAATGTGAGCTTCCTGTCCCTTCCTTCCTTTTCCTTATCAGCAGTGAGGGCCTATGGAATGACTTTTAAGTGCCTGCCAGTAACAGTCCTACATTTGTAAAGATACAAGCATGCGCGCGCACACACACACACACACACACACACACACACACACACACACACACACACACACACCCCAACACCATTTCGCCAACAGAAAAGAAAGTTCTGCCAGGGAAAAAGATGGCCACCAAAAAGTGAGCGGCTGTGCTGTACATAAACCAGTTTTGTGTCACAGTCAGCAATCTTACCTGACATTTCCTACTGACCTATCTGAAAACGCAGTTTCTAGAACAGAGTTTGAAGTGGACTTAATCTTACCTATCCCCTTGCTAATTAGCAAGTTGAAAAACCTCCAAAACATACTCGGATTGCATATTTGCATGATTTTACCTTTTGAGAACTTGGTTTTAGGCACTTGTACTAATTGTGCTTGCCTTTGATCCTGGGTTTAACATGGCACTCAGGTTTGAATGTATGTGTCCCTCACAGACTCATTTTTTCTGTTTGTTTTATGGTTTTGTTGTTGTTGCTGTTGCTGTTGTTGTTTCGAGACAGGGTTTCCCTGTGTAGTTTTGATGTCTGTCCTGGATCTTGCTCTGTAGACCAGGCTGGCCTCGAACTCGCAGAGATCCGCCTGGCTCTGCCTCCCGAGTGCTGGGATTAAAGGCGTGCGCCACCGCCGCCTAGCCAGACTCACGTTTTAACGTAGCTGGCAGCTGTTTAGGAGGTAGAGCAAACTTTAGGAGGTGGAGTCTTGTTGGAGACTTGGCTTGTGTCTAATATGTAAGCCACAGCTTCTATGTCTGTGTTTGTATGTCTGTATTAGTTTCTTTTTGCAACTGCATGTAACAAGTAGTCACTAATTTAACGGCCACTTCAGAGGGCAGAAGGCCACCATGAGTTTTCCTGGGCTCAAATCCAGGGGTTCTGAGAGCCAAATTCTTACTGGAAGCTCCACAGGAGACCCTGTCCCTGACTCTTTCCAATTCCCAGAGGTGTCTGCAGTCCTTGACTTGTGGTACTATGCATCTAACCTCTGCTGCCATGACCACATCCTCTCTGACCCTTTCTTCATCGTTTAAGGCCCTGAGCCCACTGGGTAAGCATTTGCCCATCTCAAGGTCTCAACTGAAACCATGCCTACAAGGTCCAGTTGGCCTTATGCTAACACACTAAAAATAAATATTCACTTGGAAATATTTTACAAAATAATAATGAGATGCTTTTGTGCCACAGGCTGTGGCCTTTAAGCATCCCCAATCCACTTAGCTCACTATGTAATACAGTTTAACCAGTTATATTTAGTGATAAATGTCTCATGGACATGTTCTTTAACTTCATGGGACTTAGTATTATGTACTTATGTGGGCAGAGGTTTGGGAATCAAATAAATTCAGCCCAGCCCTGGCTGTAGCGCTCAGTCTTGGTAAGTTTCCCAGCTGGCTGGCTCCAGCTTACCATTTACTTAGTCAGTGAAGATCACGACACAGAGAGGGTTTGCTGAGGGGTTAAATGTGAATATGCTGACCACAGACCCTGGTGTACAGTGACCATGTATGCTGCCATGGCTGCAGTCCGCTCTGATTGCCCAAGCAATGCCCCACCACCATCTCAGCCACTGATGCCCTCGTCTGAAGAGCCTGACCACATCAGGACAGCTTGTCCGTGCTCCCACGGCCAAGCAGGTGTCGGCATTCTCCAAATGGGCTCGCTAACACTCATGTCTCCTCACTTCTCGGTGCTGTGCCCTGGAGTGCTCTCCCTTCCACTCAGTTCTCCTCGCTGTCTCCTCCTGTCAGCCACGTGGCTGGGTCTGCCAGCTGCAGGAGTACTCTGCCCCCAGCTGCAGGAGTACTCTGCTCCCAGCTGCAGGAGTACTCTGCTCCCAGCTGCAGGAGTACTCTGCTCCCAGCTGCAGGAGTACTCAGCTCCCAGCTGCAGGAGTACTCAGCTCCCACCCTGTTGCTGCTCCCAAGTCCAACTCACTTCCCTCCACCAAATGGCTTTCTTCATCTCCTTTTTCCAAAGGTTGCCTTGCAGCTGAGGCCTGTGCTCTTCGCTCTTTTTAAATTGCAGGCTCCCTCTTTCACATCCACCACAAGCATTCCCTAACGCCCGCATTTGCTTAAATATTTTGCATAGGATTTGTCTTCAACTAATATATTATATTCCATTTTTTTCCAATCATTAAATATCTTCCTTGGCCAAAATATAACTTTCATAAAGATAAGAATTATTGTAGCCAGTCCAGCCTAGAGGCACACACTTAATACTAGTTATTTATGTGACTGAGGCAGAAAATGCACATTTCAAGGCCATCCTAGGCAATGTAGTTGAGATCTTATCTTAGATTTTTAAAAAGAGGATTGAAGAGATGGCTCACCAGTTAAGAGTACTTACTCTTTCTGAAGAGGACCAGGGTTCTGTTTCCAGCACCCAAGGGACAGCCAACAACTACCTATAGCTGAAGTTCCAGGGCATCCAAAGCCATCTTTTACCTCCATAGCTACCTGCACACATTTACTGCACATAGGCCCACAAAGCAGTACGCGCTTACATAAATGTAAAATAAGTAAGAACTCTCAAAAAAGCATGAATGTCTAACATGGTGGTACAGTGCTGGTCTGGCATGCATGAGGCTCTAGGCTCAATGCCAATATAGAAAATAATTTAATTAATGAAAATTCACAATTTAGCCAATGCATACCATAGGCACCAAAAAGGGAATTTCCTGAATGAGTGGTAGGGCAAATTCTGGTAGGGATTGCTGGTGCCAGTCTGTTCAGTTCATATATTCTTTTCTACTGTATTAGCTACTTCTCTGTTCCTGTAATAAGACAGCATGACCAAGGCAATAGACAAAAAAAAAAAGTGTTTATTTGGGGCTTACAGTTTGAGGGTTAACGTCCATGACCCTTGTGGCAGAGAGCATGGCACTGGAACAGGAGCTGAGAGCTCACATCTTGAGACACCATGAGGCAGACTAACTGGGAAGGGCAGGGGATAGTCTTTTGAAACCTCAAAGCCCATCCCCAGTGACACACCTCCTCCAACAAGGCTACACCTCCCAATGCAAACATTTCTACCTCCTGTGAACCAAATATGCAAACATATGGGGGCCGTTCACACTCATCACCACCTCCACTTTACAGTCCTGGATTAGTTACTCCTAACTCTGACCGTCACAGGACAGGCACTCCTCGATGCCCAGAGGTAGTATAAAATGCAAGACTTTAGAAACTTTTGTTAATGTTGTCACCTTCACACAAATGACAGGAACACCCAGATCCATCTTGTCATCTTGTGGCCACTCCAGGAACTACAGTCAGAGAGAAACTACAGTCAGAGGAGGTAGAAAGACAAGGACTCCCTCAGCTGGGCGGGAGCATAAACCACCGGTATGGCCACTTTGGAAAATAAGAGTCTCCCAAAGAGTTAAATGCAAAACTTTCTCTCTGCTTCACCCATTCAACTCCAAGGTGCTCACTCAAGGAAAGTGGAAGCATTAAAACAAGACTCCTGTTCCTCCTAAGACTAGAAAACTGGTAACAATCTTATCATCAGCTAGCAAATGGATAGATAAGATGTGTATCCACACAGTGGAATCCCACCCAGTCATGAAAATGAGTGAGCTGCGGACCCACACTAGACATGACCCCACAAGGCACGCTGGGATATTACCAGACGTTGTAGAGTAAGGACATCCAAATGTCTGCTCCCTGTGAAACTGACAAAGATACTACCCACTCTGCAATGATCAAGACGCGTTTATTCCAGAGAAAACAGCTCATTTCAGTTAGTGTTACCTCAGAGTAAGTGGGCTTACTCCTAAGCCCCTTGCTACAGCTGTGTGGTAACCATGAAAA